CGTTGTCGCAGTTCCAGGGGGACATGCCGATGCGCGCGGCGGCGGCGGCGGCGGCGGCGCTGCTGGGGAAGATGGGGGTGGTGATGCGCGCGATCTTGGCCGCCTGCGGGAAGGCGCCCCCGTTGGTCTTGTAGAAGGAGGTGGCAAAGGAGCGGTAGCGCTCCATCTCCGAGTTGTAATCCACAAGGCTGTTCAGGGCCCCCTCGGGCAGGTGGCTTTCCTTGGGCAAGCCCGGGGCCTCCGGGCTCGGCCCGGGCTCCACGCAGACATTGGTGTTCATGGTGCAGGGGGGAAAGAAGGGGTGCAGGGTGGAAGTGGGGACCGTCTGGTCCGACACCTGGGTGGGAAAGGGGGGGAGGTGGGGCCGGTGGGGCCCGACCCTGGGGGGGAAGGGGGGGGGAGGGAGGGGGGTGATGGTGGTGTTGGGGTGGGGGCCGAGGCGGGAGGGGAAAGTGGGTCCGGGTGGGGAGAGCAAGGTGAGGGTTGCTCTATTCCTCTCTGGGGCGCATTTCCACAGACGGTGAATTCCCAGGCAGTGTCTTCCTTTGCATTATCCTCCAACTGTTACAACTGAAATAAAGAAAGTCATTCCAACGAGCTGCACGAGGAAAAAGATTAAAAATAAATAAACAGCCTCCCTCACTACCCCACCGCAGACACCGAAAGCTCCAACATTCATCCGTCAGGTCGTTTGCATAACAATCATCAAGACGTGACCTCCCTCATTCCCATCCCCCCCAACGCTCCCAACCCCAGCTCCCTCCCGCCCCACAGCTCCTCCCCCCTATTCTTATAACCCTTCGGAGAAAATGTATTAATAGCCAGGATACCCAGGGAAAGAGGGAAGACCGGGGTGACAAATGCCGAGGGAAAAGGGCAATTGGCGTGCTACAGACATGCAAATCAGGGGTGGGAGGGCGATACTACCTATAAGCAGAGGGCATTTAAACATTATGAAATGTGTGAACAAATGCTGCCTGGGCATGCAAATGCTGTAAAATACAAAACAGCGATGGCCCTATGAAGAAAATCAACAGGAAATTAGCAAATGAAGTACTGAGAAAGTCTACAATACATCCCAGTATAAACTGTAAGCAAACACAATACAACTGAGAGCTAAGAGACTGCCCACATACAATCTGAACTAAAGAGGCAGGGAAAAAAGAACTACCAGCTGCCACAGTGTCCTTCTGTGGCTGTGGTCATTAGTTTGAATCCCAGCACAGCTGGCTCTGTTAGGGTCTTAATTCAATGGACCAAGGACAGGTCTCAACTGTACCAGCCATTTGGTGGTGGGGCTTGCTGGGGGTAAGAGAGTGGTGTTCTACTTGTTTGAAAGAAAAGAAAGATAGACTAGATAAAAATGAAAATAAATAATAGTCATACAAGCAATGTCACAGGTTTTAAACCAAGTGTTTGCAGCCTCTGTAAGAATATTCCCAATCTTTTCTAATGGAGACTCCTGTCTCTTCCCAAGACAAGAGGAAAGCATGGGACTTTTTAAAAAGGATCTCCCACAGACACTGGTTTTTACATTCAGTAAAAGGGGAAAAAGAAAAAACCCTTAGGGTGCTGTTTACTTGAAGAAATAACTATTCAAATAATTTTGTTCTTTTGCTCTTTTTTAAAGGAAAGTTTAATGTTAACTGGGTATTTGCATTCATTCTATTTCTTACAGGCCAATATTATGCTTTAGGAAGAGGTATTTTAGTTGTTTATTACAGAGGTAGAGGTACATCACAACCTTTTAAGAAGTAAAGCAAAGACATAAAGTCTACACTAACAACAACACCAACACCAACACCAGTTTCTTTGTTTCCACATTTTTTGCCAGAATATCTTTTTGTGACATCTTTTGAAGCCCACATATTGGTCTAGAATGTGGAGTTCAGGTATACCTTAATGGGGGCCCAGTAGTTTCAGTCTCAAATATTCAGAGTTCAAAATGGATATCAATTATAGTAATTATGCTTATAATTAGATTAATGAACCATTTATGCCCAAACTCCAAGAGCAAAAACTTCAAATCTTACTGATGAAGTGCCCTAAAAAGGGGAGTTTATGTAAACAAATCCCTATTAGGCAAAGTAAATCAAGATAAGGAACCTCTCCCCAGGCTGGATTAGAAGCTAGCAGGCATCCTTCAATCACAGCAAGTCCCTAATCACTCAGGAACCACCTCTGTGGTTTCGCATCAGGGAAAACTGCTCCCTTCAGAGGTCTGATGGCAATACAAAGCGTGCCCCCAAAATACTCCTAGCTAAATAGTCTTGATGCTTGGGAAGGAGGTGAGGGAAGACACAGCAAGAATATACATATAGCTTCAGTTTCTGCGAATCACATTGTAACTGCAAGACCATCATAACTGCTACTCAGTAAAAACTAGTTATGCCAACCATGCATCAGATATCAGCACACTGTGTGGAGGGGAAATGTCAACGTTTTAGTCTTTTGACCTTGTTCCACATAAAGAAATAATTTAATGTCCCTTTTTCAGAGTATTAGAGTGGTGCTTCCACACAGAAGCTTCCCTTGCTTCTCATATTGCCATCACCTCCCCCCTTTCTCCCTCAAGGTTTAATGCCACCAGAAACTATAGAAAATGATTGTGCCCAGTATCCAGGTCATTATTGTTCCATCAATGCATCTCTGGAGCATGAAAAAGGTATCTAAGCCACAGCTATTGTTTGGATTTTCTTTAAAAAGCAAAATAAAACACACACAAATAACTATAGTCCTGTACCAAGGCTAGATTAGACATCCATACTTCATGATCCTGCTTTGCCTTTAAACAATGTGACTGTACATGCCTAATATTGTATGTCTGGTCTACCAGAGACATAGAGATCAAAGGTCATATTTAACATTCAGGAGGAGGGGCGGGTGCAGATTAATTAATAAATTAATACAGCGACGCCTTTTATTGCTGGAGTCCAGCATTAATAATCTACTTTTACAATCCCAACGGACAGCAAACATTTAAGGAAAAAAAAGCCAGAGAAAGAGAAAGAACAATCACTTACCAGTCTCTTTTTATTTGGGGAGCCTTAGAATTTGCAGACGCTGCCAGTCTGCCTTTAATTAGTTGCACATCACCCCCTAACACAAAGAAACACAAATCCAGATGTGTCTTGGCAGCTCCCAATTACAACTTTAATACTTGTAAACAAACTGTTGGGGGGGGGGATAAATAAATATGCGGATGAAAAAAAATACCTGTAAATGGCTTTTTTTTTTCTTGTTGCAGAGAGAAGGAGGAGGAGATGGTGTTAGTGGTGGGGGTGGAAGGAGGAGGAGGTGGGGGGGAGAGGAAAGAGCCGAGTGTGAGTGTATGTGTGAGAGCGCGGGGCTGTTCTCGGTGGTCTCTCCTCTCCCAGCGCGTTGCTCTCCGTCCGTCTCCAGTCGCTGTGTGCGAGGGAGGGAGGGAGCCGGGGAGTCTCTCCCTCTCTCTCTCTCTCTCTCACCCTCCCCCCTTCTCTCTCTGTTTGTGTGTGTGCCTGTGTGGTTGCTGGGGGAGGGGAGGCCGAGAGAAAGGCGAGGGAGGAGGTGTGGAGGCTGGGGGCGGGGGCGAGGGGGGTGATTGGCGCCGAGGTGAGGAGGACGCAGGGACGTGGACACCTACTGATGATTGGCTGCAAATTACACGGGGAACAAGAGGCGCACGCGGGCCAGCGCTCCTCTTCACAAATCCTCTCCTCGGCGGAGGAGCCACGTTTCCCTGCTCGCCCGCCGCGCGCCCTCCCTTCTCGCGCCCGGCTCTCCGGCTCCGCCGCCGAGCACGCTGGGCCGCTGATTATTTTCTTTTGCTCTCCGAGATAATTGTTCGGAAGGGACGGAAAGAGGGCGTTTCCGCCACTCTCTCGGCGTGCGAGGTGTGTGTGTGCGGGTGTGAGTGTAAATAAACTTGTCTGGGTTTTCTGGCTGGGTTGAGAAGAGCAATACCAGAAACAGAGGAAAGGTCGTGGTTGTTTGAAGAATGCTCTGAGTTTGCAGCTCACCTCATGCCTTTTAGATAGTGTCCTGCTGTACCCTGGAAGACTTTTTTTCCTTTTTTTTTTTTTTTGGTCATTATCATTTAGAGCTTTAGAGGAAGGAAAAGCGGATCTGTGTTTTCTGGTTGTTCAGGCCCTTTAACATTATTATGCCAGAATGTAAGGAATTGGTGATGCTTGACTGACCTCAGAATCACTCTCAATCAATCTCTCCGTCTCTGTCTCTCTCCTTTTACTCCTCCATCTGGAAGTTCCAATGATTGAATCAGATTTTTAACTCAACTGCCCTATTTTTGATTCCAAACTTTACATGAACAGAAGCTGTTTTTATAGAGAAGCTAATCTGTTTTATGTTAGTAGGTGATTAGCATTTCACTTCTTGTCAACTGTGGTAAGAAAGTTTAATAATTGAAACATACATCTTGTTTTTTAAACAGGTCAAATATAAATAAAACTCATTCATATATGCAGCTATGAATTAACCTCTTCACTGCTTATCTTAAAGAAAATGAGATATTCCTGGATACTCAGCTTACTATTGAGGATGAAGGGTGGTGAAGTAGAACTAGTTATGAAAGAAGATATAAAAACCATGAATTCTTTTTTCTTTGGTAAATGTCTACCGAGATAAAACATTGCAGCGGCTAATGATAAGCTACAGAACTAGGAAAGAAAAGATCACTGTTTTCAGGTTGTTCGCGTTTGTGTTACAAGGCAGAGTAAAAGTTTATTTAAATTAAAACTCTAGAATAATGCAGTAGTAGAGTTTTAAGAAGGAAGAAAAATATCATAACGAGTTGTTTCTTTTATAGTAACGAAATGTTGAAAAGAGATTTTGTCATTTTGTATTTGAATATTCAAAAGATTAACCTTGACCTTATCAAGGGTCTAAAAATTAAAGAGGATAGATTGTTGATAAGATGTTGACAATTGTGATGTGCATAATGAAGGTGCTAGTTTGATAGTGTACAACAGCAAATGTGCTTTTGACCCACTGATTAGTATGCATGTTCTGCCATTTTTTTAACATACAAGAAGTTTGGTTATAAATTCAATCAAAGTGATTATTTGACATTTATAAACAAACTAACTGAATGGCTGATAATTACTTATGTAAACTGATAATGTATCTATATTTTATGTTAATGCTTCATAAAAGCAAGGAGGAGACTTTTCGTTTTAATGTTGTTCTGAGGTGTCCATCATAGGAAATTTATTAGCAAGCTGTAGTCACTTTTTAAAGAGTGAAAATACACTAGAAAGATGATAGGTTCTTAAACATCTTTTC